AAATTTTCAACTATTTGTAGATAGGTGTATAGGATTAGTAACAGAAATAATCAGTTGATTCAACTTCTTCTGATGCTTCTATAATTGTAAATTAATGAAAAAGAAGAAAAAAAGTCTTTAGTGTAACAGGAAAGTACCCCTGTGCTATTAACTACGAGATAATCTGATAGAACTTTCAGCTAAATCTAAGCTAAGATGCAGCAACAATGTGCATCACAACTAATCTCACTTCTAAACTGTTGATGTATTAAGACCCAACGGCGAGATTAGCGAGAGTGAGTGTCCAAGCTACCTGAGTCGGCCCTAGTGAGGGTGACCTGACGTGATTAATTAATGGTGACATGGGACACATGTCGGCTCCAAGACGAGAATTAAGTCTTAGGTTAATTGCTGTCATAACGTTGCCCCCTGTCGCTTGGACTGAAGGTGACCGAGTCCGAGTGAAATAGGATTGTAGTTGGTCAGGCAGGTCCTGACGTGCATTTATGAGGGAAGTGATGGGTGGTTGTTATGGCGAGTGGGGCGACTCGATCTCATACCTTATTGTTGAATATGATCGCAAGGCTCTAAAATTCGTGTCTTGGTCTTATGAACGTGCCAAGGTCTTGCTGCAAACATATTAGGTGCAAATATTTGTCTTTATTAATTTAAATCGTGTGCCTTTTGAGTATCCATCGGGTTTTTTTTTGATTGAGACGACTCGGATTAGTGCCTTGGATTTACTCGTAATGACATCAAGGTCCTATGGTACGTGCCTTGGACTTAGGAAGATGGCAAGGTCTTTTAGCTGATTTAAGCCGAGTCGATATGCCTTGGTTTTACGTTGAGTAGGACGAAGGTCTTAGTGTTTGTTGTTCAGCATTTTCTACGCTATAGACATTTTCAGATAGAAATATTTTTATTTTATTAATTTGAACCGCGTACCTTTGAGTACCAGTCGGTCCTTTGGGTCGAGATAACCCCATACCCTGTGTGGAGAGTAGTGCTATTCGACCTACTGCCTTGAGTTTGTTCGCGATGACACTAAGGTCTTGGGGGTACATGCCTTGGGTTTAGGAAGATGCCAAGGTCTTGATATTGGAGTCGACCGAGCTGATGGCGTGCTTTGGTCTTGCTCATAAAAATGATGCCAAGTTCTTTTAAGTCAAAGCTGGCCGAGTAGAGACGTGCCTTGATTTTACCCCAAGAGGGTACCAAGGGCTTTTGTCGATGACACGTCTTGATCATACCCTGAGTAGGTGCCAAGGTCGGTGATGTGTCTTGGTTTTATTCATGAAAATGAAACCAAGGTCTTTTGTAGATGGAGTGCCTTGGTCTTAACTGAGCAGATGCCAAGTTCTTTTGAGTCGAAGCCGATGTCTACACATAGGTATATGGCACAAAGAATATCTTATTTTAAATATAGTGTCTTTAATTTGTTACCTTGGGGAGTACCATATGTGCTCTGGACGTAGACATGAGAATGATGCCAGGTTTAGTGGCAGAAGTGGGCCGAGTTGATAGAGATCGAACGACAAAATGTTGTGTATAGGTTAGTACGCAGCATAAAAATATCTCATATTTATAAGAGGAAAAACAATGATCGTATCTTGGAGAGGTAGTCCCCAAAACGTTCACGGTGAGCTTGGCATTTTAGCCTATCGGAATGGTAGCTTCTTATCTACAAGCTTTGGGCACAATGGGTCACCCATTCTTTTGTGAAAAAGAGATGAAGTGGCCTCACTGTGGGCGCCACATTGTTGATGTCCTGAGACCCAACGACAAAATTAGTGGGTAATCCTGAGTTTAGCAAGGGGGCTTAATGTCGATATGAGTGATATGGATATCTTCATATCTTTTTGAAGACCGGTCCCATGTCCGTATAAGAGAGCTGCATAATAACACTCGTTAGAGGACAAGAGTTTGGTTCTCTGGTGGTTCCTTTGACGGTCAAGTCAGTATTTAAATTTGAGTGGAGAAGATACCAATAAACTAAAAATAGTTTTACGTATGCAGAAGTTGTATATTTGTGGCCTCCTTGGGGGCTTCCTCCTCTAGTCCGCCTAGTTAGTAGGCAACGAGCCCTATATATACCTGTAGGCTGTCTAAAAATCACAATAGATAGTTAATCCCTCATCAAACACCGATGATGGAAGTTACAATCTGACGAGGCTACAATTTGAGAACTTTCACGTAGAAGGTTACAATCTGACGACCTTCACAACAACTAATGAAAGCCCCAATTCAACAGCCTCAATCTGACGACTCTCATATTTTCAAGGAGCCAAGACGAAGATTACAAGAGGACGATCTGTGCAAAGCTCTAGCAAAAGAGACTACAAATTGACGGTCTCTTCATATTAGAATGCATATATCTCTCAAACCGTAAGGAATTTGGCAAAACGGAGGAAGCGAACCGAAGCCTTTGGCTGGGTTCGGATGGATCCATCTCGTCGAGATAGTCGATTTTCATATATAATTCGTCCAATTCCGACGTACGGTTTGAAAGTTATGACATGTTCTTCGCAGCAAGTTATGTTCTGAAGTCCGTCTGCAAGACCGGACTTCGTCAGAACATTGGACTTAGCCTGAAGCTCGCCAAGCCTGCCTAAGGTTTGCCTCTACATTACAGAGCCAAAACACACAGGGCAAACCAGCGTTTTCGACATCAAAACGCGGAGTTAATTTCCAAAACAGCACGAACTGTGCGTTTTCAGCCTTTAAACAGGCTCAACTCTGCGTTTTCAACATCAAAACGCAGAGTTAATCTGTTTTCAGCCTAAAACGCAGAGTTCATCTCTAAAACAGCATGACCTGTGCGTTTTCAGCCTTTAAACAGGCCCAACTCTGCGTTTTTAGCCTAAAACGCAGAGTTATCTCCAAAACAGCACGAACTGTGCGTTTTCAGCCTTTAAACAGGCTCAACTCTGCGTTTTCAACATCAAAACGCAGAGTTAATCTCTAAAACAGCACGAACTGTGCGTTTTCAGCCTAAAACAAGCTTAACTCTGCGTTTTCAACATCAAAACGCAGAGTTAATCTCTAAAACAGCACCAACTGTGCGTTTTCAGCCTTTAAACAGGCCCAACTGTGCGTTTTTAGGCCTAACTCTGCGTTTCAGGTCCATAAACGCACAGTTCGGGCCCAGAACGCTGTTTTCAGCGTTTTGACTCGTTCAAAGCACTAACAGAACGGTTTCAAAACCGTTTTCCCCACGATTTAGGGAGCTGTTTAAGAGGGGGCGGTTACACCCCCACTCAGCCGATGGAGGAGCAAATTAAGGGGGCAATTACCACCCGTAACCCCCTATAAATATCAGAAACTCAACTGAGTTCGGGGCTTTTGGCTTTTGGCTCTGGGATCTGGGATTTGGTAGCAACAGAGGGCTCGGAGATCTTTTTCTTTGGGAGGGAGCAAAGGAGAGATCTTCGGCTAACTTTGGAGGGGATTTGTTGGAGTTTTGGAGACCAGCAACAGGAGCTTCTTCCTTGGCTTATTAACCGAACTTTCGGTTTAAATCAACTCTTTCATAGAGATAAACTCGCTCTGAGTTATCAACTCGTTAAGAGTTATTTTTAAGACTTTTTTTCAAAAGTTCAAACTCGTTCAGAGTGGTCAACTCGATCAGAGTTCAAAACTTGCTCTGCAAGTTCTTCTAAAACTCGTTCAGAGTTATCAACTCGTTAAGAGTTATTTTCAAACTTGCCACGCAAGTTCTCCACAGCGTCAAATCGTGAGGAGAAAATCACGTTCCAGTGAATCAATACGTTTGGATCGTCAACGAGAAGCAAACTCGACGCGAGCATTCGAGGGAGGCATCTCATCGCCACCGTGAAGAACCCAGAATTAAACAAAGGGGAGAATCAAAATCATTCTCCTCTCTTTTGTAATCGAAATCCAAATTGTAATTGATTTTGAGAGGAATACAAGTCAAATTTTTCTTTCATTGTCTTTTTACATCAAATTTCCAACAAACAATACCCAGCTGAGAGGGGTAAATATATAACTGTGGCTAAGTCCATGCAGACAGCTGACACACCAAACAGCTGATAAATGTCCGCTGTGAGTGGCATGGGTCATCCAGGTGGTTAGTACAAATCAATAGCAACTGCTTGGTGCTGACGGAGCCTGATGAGTCATGAAGATTTTTGGGACTAGAGTAATGATGATCTTTGACCGTGCATTTAATGTGATGGTGACTGGCTGTTGACGGGGGGTTTGAGGATACACAGTCTCTCTAGTCATTCGGTCGAGGGCCAACTAACGACGCCTTTTTTACTCGGCCTCGAGAGTTGTCGGCTGAGATAGTGGTGCGAGTGTAGAGGCTTGTGGGCTCAATCTGATAAGTAGGTCTGCAAGTACCACCTTTCGAGTCGATCGTGCAAGATGTCTATCCAGCTCTTAGTGAATGAGGATGGTTGACTCAATTGATGAGGTCGATGAGAGCTCGTCTCGACTCGGCCTTCCTCATGGGGGATCAAGTGTCCATGCTACCTGAGTCGCCCCTAGTGAGGGTGAGCTAGCATGATTGATTAATGCTGACATGGGACACGTATCGACTCCAAAAGGAAAATTAACACTCAGGTTAATTGATGTCATAACATAAATTAGCTAGCTTGGTAAGAAAAATAGTTGATATCGAAGCTGCCGAATCGGCGAATTCTTTCGACGGCACCGTGGTTAAGCAAGAAGGAAGAGTTCTCTTTGGGACGAAGAAAATGACTCTGATACCATAATTATAAGAACATAGCTTTTGAAAAGAAAAGAAATAATCTTATTCAATATTGCATTGAGATACTTATATCAAGAACAAGGAGAGAAATTCTAGTATCGGAAAAAATCGTGGACTAAAAAAAAAAAAACCAAGACATCATCCAACAATTAGGACCAAGATCACGCTCAAATCTCAATCATCACAATTCACAATACAAAGCCAAAAAGAAATAATTAGCCTCCGCTTTCACGCGTCCTCACTCGAAAAATCCCAGTTCTCACTAAAAACCCCAAATGCCAAGGGTCTTCATATATATTTCCCCCTCTTCGCTGGGGGAAAAAAACCCATCACTTTACTCACTCCCACTCTCTACGCCCAGCATCGAGATTCTCGTCCCGAGATGCGCCCCCTCGTCCCCCTCGTCGTCCTCCTCCTCCTCTCCGCCGCCGTTCCCCTGTCCCGCGGGCACAACATAACCCAAATCCTGTCCCACCACCCAGACTTCTCGACCTTCAACCACTACCTCACCGCCACCACCTCGCCGGCGAAATCAACCGCCGCAGACCATCACCGTCCTCGCCCTCAAACAACGCCGCCATGTCCTCCGTCCTCTCCAAGCACCTCCCCCTCCAAACCCTAAAGAACCTCCTCTCCCTCCACGTCGTCGTCGACTACTTCGGCGCCAAGAAGCTCCACCAGATCACCGGCGCACACGCTCTGGTCTCCACCGTGTTCCAGTCTCCGGCCAGGCTCAGGCATGGCGGGGTTTGTTAACGTCAGCGCGCGGACCACCGCGGCGGACACGTGTCGTTCTCTGCCGACGGGTCCGAGGTCAGCTCGGCGTACGTGAAGAGCATCAGGGAGATCCCTTATAACATTTCCGTCGTTGAGATCAGCAAGCCGCTGGTTTCTGATGCCGCCGAGGCGCCTACTCCGTCGCCGGCTGACATCGATTTTATCGACATCATGTCGAAAAAAGGTAAAAGGCTAGCGGTAAATTTGTTCATATATTAAATGCTGTTTGTTACCGACGGGGGGCCGAGGTGGGGTCCACGCGCTGGGGTTTACTTCCCAGCAAGTAGTGGGGATTGAGCTCGGGCTTTGGCGCGGTGATCCTGGTGCCTTGCCGAGATTTTCCTCCTCGTATTAAAAAAAAAAGAAAAAAGAAAAAAATTCCTTGCATGGAAATGGAAAAGTCGCTGATAAATCTTTTTGTTTTATGCCAATGATTCAATGAATCATTGTCTACTGACTACACAATTCAATGCGTGATTTCGATCACTCAAGTTAATTTGGTCCCACTAGAGTACTAGCGTATCTACCATAGCAAATAGTAAGTAAAATAGAGATCATAACTGAGGAGTCTTTTATTACTCTGTTTATTTTGAAAGACTGTAGTAAGTAAATACATTTGGATTAATAATAATCCAGCGAGAGTTTATTTCTTTTGAGTTAATTTGATTCGAAAGAAGAGTAGACAGGCATATCCCTCATGGACTTTTGGCCCTCTGCAACCCAGAACAATTAAATTGTGTTTTTTTTAACCTAAGTAACTCGATGAGAGTTAATTTGATTTTAAATAGACTGGACAATTTGTTTTCTTTTCAGTGTACACATCGAAACCTTGTTTTGTTCAAATGGGTATTGTACCAATTATAGTGTTATAAACTACTTGAAAGTTTATGAGCTCAAATGACCTTATATTTTCTCCAAAAATCTTCGTCTGCTCTGCTTCTTATCAATCAATTCCAGGATGCAAAACATTCGCCGATCTCCTCACCGCCGAAAACGTCACCGAGACACTCAAGGACAAGGTTGACACCGGCCTGACAATATTCTGCCCAATCGACCAAGCAATGGAAGCGTTCATGCCCAAATTCAACAACCTATCCGCCGATCGCCAGACCTCCATCCTCCTCTACCACGCGATCGCCGAATACAAATCTATGGAGATGCTCAAATCCGACACCGACGTAATGCACACCCTCGCCACAGAAGGCAAATCTCACAGCTACAACTTCACCGTCGAAAGTGCAGGCGAGGTTGTAACTTTAAAGACAAAGGTGACGACAGCGAGGGTCACGGGGACGCTTGTGGACGAGGACCCGCTGGCGGTATATACGATTGACGAGGTGTTGGAGCCGAGGGAGTTGTTTAAGCCTGAGAAGACGAAGGCAAAGGAGAGAGTCCAGAGAAGGCGGGGAGAGGCGGGGAAGAGTAAGAAGAGGCAGGCGTGCACTGCCTTTGCCTTCAGCGCCGACGCCAGCGGGTCCTGAGGAGCAGCCGGAGGATGACGAGTGGCAGATGAGTAGTGTCGGCTCGGCTGGCGGAGGGTTTCAGTGCAGCGATGGGCGGCGGTGGCTGCGGCGGCGGGTTTGGTTATGATTGCTTAATTATGTTTCTTTATTTTTAGGGGGTGTTTTTTAATTGTAATTGAATTTGTAGAGAATAAGTAGGGGAAGGTAAGTAGTCTGTTTGGTGAATGATTGGATTGATATAGGGGTTTTAGATTGTGATGTTTTGGATGTTTGTTAGTTTATATTAAGATTGTGTAGATGGATGATATTGATGTTTTCATGAAATGATTATGTTGTGCTCTTCAATAGTGAAGACATTGTAAAGTGAAGTCTTCTCTATATAACGGACTGTTTCAATTGTAATTTGTTTTTTTTTTAATTATTTGTAATTGAATCTGTAGGGAATATGAGGGGAGGTAGTTTGTTTGGTGTTTGATTGAGTATTTAGATTGTGATGTTGTTGGCTTCTTTTAGGACTTTAGATGGGTGATGTTGATGTTATCATGAAATGATTAGAGTAGCTATAAGTGAGGGGAGTAAAGGTGACTGTTCTTCTCTGGGGTGTAAAGTGCGGTGATCATATTGTTTGGTATAGGGGGAGCATAATAAATGGCTTTAATAGGAACCCCTTCTCTATAATGGACTAATTAACTTATCAAATTAGCTTTAATTGTAAGAGGAGAATTAACTTCTTCTTCATGTAACAACCAAATTGGCAGCCTAAAACCGGATTTCATGAACAACCATAAAACTAAGTTTCAGGATCGCACTTAATTTATGGCCGAATCGCACAAAAAGCTTGGTTACTTGATCCTCGTTTGGTACGCGAGAAAGGACTCAAATGAGAATGGAATGGTGGAAGAAGGAATGAAATAGAATTAATGTGAGAATGGAATAGTCATTCTCATCCTCACGTTTGTGTGTAATTTATAAAATAAAGTAGGAAGTGACATATTTTAAAATTATATATTTTATTGATTCTCATTTAAGTGGGAATGCACATTCCCTATCATTTCATTGGGAATGCTCATTCCCACATAAAGTGGGAAATGATAAGAAGTGAGAATGAGCATTCCAACTTAAAAAAAGAGGGTGTATTTGGTAAAAAGGAATGAGAAGTGAGAATGACTATTCCATTCCACCTCATTCCCGCGTACAAAACGATGCCTTAATCCTACATTACCATGTGACAATAATCTAAGTTAATGTTCTTTTGAGAAACTTGTAACACTAACCAACGGATTTGGATCTACATGGTGATGGTTGGTGTAGGACGAAAGTCCCCAAGTTTATGGGGCTAAAAAAAAGGGGGGGAGGGGGGGGGGGGGGGATAACTAATGGATTTGGATTACGTTCGTATACTAAGAAAAGATAATAGAGAGTTTCCTTATCTATTGCTAAGTATTAACATTATTTTTATTATTTGATCTGGGCAAAAATATACGCATCTACAATTATATATTTAAACATAAACGGATGTTTATGAAAAAACATTTCTGAAATTGGAAGGCGAAGAAGGTGCAAATCCATAGCTCATCCCTGATCAGAACAATGACCCTTACAAATTAAAAGAATATTCAAGCATCATCAAACACTTACCTTCATTTCAATTCATCATGTTACAACTTAATCACACATCCTATATAAGAAATTTAAAAAAAAAAAAAATTGAAAAACACAAACGCACAACAAAAAACCCCTCTAAAAGGGCAATCTCTCTCCCACTCGTTATTCCATGTTCAATGCATTGGAACTCCACTACAAACAAAAATATCACAACAAATCCAAATCCCTTGAAGGAAAAAAAAAAAAAAAAAAAACAGAAATAGAACCTAAGCTGCCATGGCCACTCCGCGCCATCGCCGCCAAAGCCCACCACATCACGTGGCTCTCTCCTCCCTCCGTTCTCATCCGCCGCCTTCTGATCCGCCGGCTGCCCATCGGGCCCGCCGGAGCATCAGCCGACGCCGCATGCTTCTTCTTCTTCTCCTTCCCTTCCCTCCGCCGAGCATGAGGCAGCCTCCGCCGGCGAGGGCGCCGGCGACGGAACCTCCGCAGGCTTAAACAGCTCCGCAGGCTCCAAAACCTCATCGACACTATAAACCGCCAGCGGATCCTTATCCACCACCGTCGTCTTGATGCTCGCCGTGGTCCCCGCCGACTTGATCGTCACGATCTCACCGTTGTTCTGCACGGTGAAGTTGTAGTTCTTGGCGACGCCGTCGGTGGCCAGAGTGTTCATGACGCCGTTGCTGGATTTGAGGGAGGAGAGGGAGTAGTACACCGGAACCCCGTGGTACAGGAGCAGAGAGATCTTCCCGTCGGCGGTCAGGTTCTTGAATTTCGGCGCGAATCCCTTGACCGCGCCATCGTTAGGGCAGAATACGGTGAGGCCGCCGGAGACGGAGTCGGAGAACGATTTGGAGGCTTCTCCGGTGCCCGCGGTTAGTAGATCGGCGAAGTTCTTGCAGCCTGAAAGGTCAACGACATACGTTTCCAGTTAAGGAAGTAATGGGATCAGTGGAATAATTAAGCAGAGAGTTTTCTTTTTCTTTTATTTAAATTAAAAAAACCTTTTTTGGACATGAGGCCGATGAGATTTGCCGGCGGAGGAGGCGAGGATGAGGAGGCTGAGGGGCCGGGAGCGTCGGCCGAGACACCAGAACGCGGGAGGAGAGGAGCAGGATAAAGAGGAGGAGCTTCATCGTTGGAGCGTTTAGTTTGGGGAAGGGGAAGGGGAGAGTGAAGTTCCGGGGTGGGAGGGGAGGGGAGATCTGGGGGTAATGTTTGTTGAGTAAAACAGATGCCACCGGGTCTTGCGCGTAATTACGGGGAGATGCCACTGGATTTTTAGCCGCGCTCTTTTTCACTCGATCTTCTGTTCCGTGATCCCCGTCTCTTTTTTTCTGGCGCTGATCATGTTGTCCGCACGTGACGAGCAGGGTGGTAAGTTTTGGTAGTCTGTGGAGTGAGATCCGTGTGAAATTCGTGGTCGTACTACAGCTAGCGCTGGCATGGGAGTTAATTAGATGCGATCATGCGAGGGCCTGCTGTTCTAGATTTGGAAGCTGCCCTCAAAATAATAGAGTGGAGTTTCTGTTCCCCCCATCTCTGCTCCTCACGCCTTCACATGCGACAGTCCTTCGTGAATCACTTGATTTCTATGTTTGTAACAGTTGAAGTGACTTACCTTTGAGGTTGTACTAGCGCTAGCTATATCCACATCTGTGACAACTTACCATAACACAGGGCATTAAATTGCAAGGTAAGAAACTTTTAGGGCCGTTGTTTGGACGTAATTTTTGGAGGGTGGAAGCCTGCAAAAGTTCTGAAAAAATGTTCTTCAATTTGGATCGATTTTTGTAAGAAAACCTGCCAAAGTTCTGGCTTTTCCCCCTCCAAATAATGCACACGAATATGATCCTTATGGTACCATAGTTAAATTTGTTGTCAAAATTTGACGATACTATTACTAGGCAAATTGAAATGGAAAAGGTTGATAGATATGGTGATTAATTAGATTCAAGATTTTTTTTTTTTTTTTTGAAGTAAAACGGTGGGAAACTACTCCCCTGTTTCACTAACAAGAATTTAACGGAACAATCTAGAAGTGCGCAAAAGTCGGAAGACAATTAAAAGCGAAAAGGCAAAGCTCGTGATTAGATTCAGGTTTTGTTTCCAAAGAAATTAAAGGTGATTTTTGGGCTACAGAGATAACTTCCAATACGTTAGAAGTATGCATAAAGATATAATAAAACAATGATGTTATGTAGAGTTTTGGTGCGTTAACGGTCCTTTGTGACAATAGTAACGTGAGAATTTTTTTATACACGCGTACGTACGTGCATGAATTTGACGGATGGAATCTAAATACGAAATGCCTTAATTATACAGATAATATATACATATATCTGGTATATATGATCCCCTCCCATATTGGTATGAGCTACAACAACAGTACTATAAGCAACCACAAGATGATCGAACTTTATATATTCCGAAAATATTCCTTATAATGTCACAATACCAATCCAAGCCATCACAACTCCTCGGAAAATAAATTTTATCGGACCAGTCTTCATCGCATTGCTAGTATCCGTGGGAGGAGATTGAGGCGGAGGAGGAGGAGGAGGAGGAGGAGAATCCGCTGTAGCACCCGCATCCGATGCGGGTGGGCTCGCAATATCGGGTGAGGCCGCGGTATCAGGAGGCATTGCGTAAGAATCTGGGTTTTCTGCCTCAGCTGGGCCTGATAATGGACCAGCTATTGGGCCCAACATCGGGCCTGAAGCTGGGCCCGCTAGTGGGCCTGATACAGGGCT